GTGATGAACGCTAAGCCACCACCATTATCTCGCTCGCGATCTCGACGGTGCACGTTGTACCCGGCGCAATTCAACAAAGTTGAATTGCTGTGCAACTTCGTCTCTTGGACCGCAACTATCAATATACCATGCCGACACATGAAGACGGTTATCTCCTCAATCTTGCTCTGTAGCCCGTTGCAGTTAAATTGAAGGAGCTTCATGTGGTTCGGGAGATGTGTCGTGATGTGGGGTGTAAGGGATGTGTGTGTTCTTACCGCCGTTGGCTGTGTGCGCTGCTGTGATGGTTGCCGCCCTGTGGTGGTGGCGGGAGGCGTCGCAGTTGAGGTCTGCGACCGAGCAGCGCAATCCGGGCCCTCGAAGTTCCCAGTCCAATCTCGCGTGGTCCGCAGACCTGAGCATGCCCTAAAGTGGCACCAGCCAAGGCAGGTGTTGCACTTGACTGAAGTCACATTACGGAATATCCTGGTCTGACATACCGTGCAGATTGTAAGGGAACCAGTTGGCGGCGGCGTGTGGGTGGTGGTGCGGTTGTGTGTGTTATGTGGTCTGTCGGGGCTGTGGTGTGGTATGTGATGTTAATATGTTGTTGTGTTGTGGTGACTGTATGTGGCTGCTCGGGTGGACTGAGGTTAGCCGTGGAGGCTGCTCTGTTTGAGCAACGGGGGGGCCACGTACGACGTGATCCACTGTCGGTGTGTCCGTAGTCCTGAGCAGACTCTAAGGTGACTCCACCCCTCGCAGGCATTACACTTGACTGAGGTGGAGTTGTGGTGTAGTCGTCTCCGGCATACACAGCAGGTGTAGATTTCTGGCCCTGGGTTTGACTCGATGCCGGCCCTGAGTAGAAGAATACGTAGTGAATGTAGCCCTATGGACGAACAACTTCTGAGATACTTCGCCGACCTAAACGGGGTTAGATCGCCGAAACAACAGCCCTTGGTCGGGTAAAACCCGAGTCATTCCGGTACGTAGAACCGGCTGTCGTGGGAAGGATATCTTTATGATCATTATCATTGCTGATCACAAACAGATATATGACACATTTCAGATTAGCAGATAAGTAACGGTAGCAGTCCCTGGCCGAATTTATTGATATTTGTCAAACTTTAAATTGTGACGGGAGTGACATGTGACGGGCGTGACCAACATAATCTGTTCTTTTTACGAAAATAAGAGCATATAAACACTTGAAAGCAATTCGCACATATTCGCCTATGTCATAGCGTTACTTTCGTCAGCTTTTTTACACTGTCCAAGATGTGTTTTCTTTCAAAAAATAACTATTTTGTGTATTTTGTGACGGGCGTGACATTAATATATGCTTTGCTTCAATATATAATAAAATATTTAGTACTTGCACAAAAAACTAAAAAATTACACTTTTACAATGACGACTAATTGTTCTCTCCACTGACCGTTTAAATAATGCAAAAAAGAAAATAGACTACGAAATTCAGTCTTGTCAATTTTGAAGAAAATTAACCTCTGATTTGATTTTTGTAAATGGTGCAACCTAAAGTATAAAAATATCTGATTTTGATATAAATTTCGAAATTTTGGCTTTCAATCTTGAAAGTTAGATTTATTTACTCTTACTTACTAGAAATAATACACTCAAATTCTTAAGTTTGTTTTCGTTTTCGCAAAACGATAAGTTTCACAAATATTTCAAATTATTCTCTGGAACATACACATTTATCGTTATTATTGGAAATGCAAGACTTGGCATGTATTTTCAATTTCTTATTTAATCAATTCAAATGAACCAAACCACATGTTTCTAAAATATTTCTCAATTTAGATTTTAAAGTTTTTTCTGAAACTTGAATATAACACTGTGCGGAGAATGAGGGAATTAGATATCAGGTGATCTCAGCTATTTTCGAATGTAAACAAACAAAATGGCGCATTCCATACTTGTAAGCTTATACAATGATTGTAACTACCTCCTTTTTTGTATCGTGCATGAACCATGGTTAGTTTCATTTATTGACATTCGTTGAGGTTGCCGACCACTTGACTTTTAACAAGTTTATGACATTTAACTATGTTAAATCATGCTACCAGATTCACTAGCGGCAAAATTTTTGTTTCTTGAAAAAGTAAAAAAAAATTAAGTTAGTGAAGTTGGATCACGGTATTAAAAGAAAATTCTTGCGCGTTTCCAAACTGCAAGAATTCGGTACACCTGCGCAAAGGTTTGAAAATAAAGTTGTTTGCTTTTCCGAGGATAGTAAACGTAATACGATCTAATGCAGTTTGTTGAATAATTGCTGACGCAAAATATTTTTAATCCTCTAAACCAGAGGTTCCCAAACTTGCTTTTCTTGTAGACCCCTTTCAAAACATTACTGGTTTCGGTGGACCCCCTGCTGCCCTTTCTAACATATTTCCAAACTCATCGAAAAATGTGAAGGTTAGATGTAACGGTGAAAAGTGGCATCGTGGGTGAGTTCCAAAACTGAATTCGGAGTGGCGTTCTATTTATTAAAATAATGTGACTACACACTTGCAAGTTTTTAAAAAACAGGCTCTCACGAGTGACCTGGCACCCAGAGTAAAGCGAGACGGTTATGTTTGCCAACATAATTTAGTGCAGACACGTAAACTCCTTTCCCTCCACTTTTTTCCACCACGTAGTCTATGGCTTTGAGGATTGTAAATACTTCAGCTGGAAGACCGAAGTGAAGTTTATCCTCATTAACTTCGAAAAAGATCCCAGATCCTGGCCCAGAGTCAGTGTGGGAGTTTGGGCTCAGTGCTGGAATTAAACCAGTATTCCCCCTCAGGGAACTCAGCATTATAGCATTATAGACACAAGTGCTCAAATCTCTGCCGCCAGCAATTTCCGCCTCGCTTCTCTCAGTGTTATACCAACATTCAATTCTTTTAAGTCTGCAAGTGGCCTTTAAGGCTTCCTTCCCTACGTATGAAGACACAAAGTGACAGTAAGTCAAACAAATTTAGTTAAATAAAGGGGCTATCAAGCAACCATTTTTATTCTTTGCTATCGAAACCAGATACATTTTCGTGGACCCCCACTTACAACTCGTGGACCCCCATATTTTTTTAACGCCAACGTAGACCCCCGTCGAGTCTCCCGTGGACCCTTGGGGGTCCACTTGGACCACTTTGGGAATCACTGCTCTAAACGATGTACCGTTATCCGTGGAAGAGGGAGGAGGTGGAGTTACTTGTAACCAGGGACATAACAGTTATAAGTTTTATAGCAAAAACGTTGCACCATAACAGTTATTAGATGAGAAATATCTTATTTCGTCGATAAGAGTTATAACCCAACGTTTACTTTTTACGTTGCCTGATAACTGTTATGCAGGAGAAGTATTTTTTCCGTTGCCGATAAGAGTTATTTCCCAACGTTTATTTTTTTACGTTGCTGGATAAGAGTTATTTTACAACGTTTATTTTTTACGTTGTCTGATAAACGTAAGATTAGGATATTGGTGAAGATGGGGATGGAGAATAAGATAAAGATGATGAAATAAAAGTGAGAGAGTGAAATAACTATTATCAGATAACGTAAAAATAAACGTCGGGCAATAACTGTTATCAAGCAACGTAAAAAATAAAAGTTGGGCAATAACCGTTATCGAGCAACGTAAAAAATAAACGTTGTGAAATAACTCTTATCAGCAACGGAACAAATATTTCTCATCTATTAACTGTTATGAAACAACGTTTTCGTTAAATTTCAGAATTCAGGCAACGTTTTCAATTTGTAAATTCGAGATAACAGTTATTTTTGGTCCCTGCTTGTAACAGTACCAATTTTTTGGATTCTCGGGCTGTTCTGATACAGATGTTGCTGCTAAGAAATTTATATATAAATAAATATAGGGTCGCAACTACATATGTATTTGGGACAAGAATTATCCACATGAGATAATATGCCCTTATGCAAAAAAAATAAAATATTTAAAATCTCATTTATTATACATAAGGGTGGGAAATAGTTTTCGATAAGGTACGTCCTATGTATCATATTCAATCCACAACTGTTTTGTATGTTTCCACACAAAAACACTATATTTTTTGCAAATACATAGAAATATGTGTCTGAAGTCAGCATTGATTTTGCTCATATATGATGCATGGACTTGTGAGACAAGGTAAAAAACTGTTCCCATGAATCACATGTGATTCATTGGACAGGAACCCGTTAACATATACGTCTAGTCAAAGGATTAAGCGTTTATTAAAAAAAAAAAGAATGCGGTTTGAAATGTGCACTTTTTTGTAAAATTGGAGGTGGATTTTGCGCAAAAATACTGCTGATGGCCTAACACGAGTTTAATTTTTCTTTTCGAAAATAATCATTATACAAATAACCCAACATTTCCCACGCACAACATTAAATCCTCTGATGTATTGTTTGATTGCTATCAATGTGGTAAGGTAGCTCATATTATTATTATTATTATTATTTAGAAGCTGGTATGAATACCAGCACTAAATGATCTATTTGAGCATTGGCTGCCGAGACCATCAGCTCTGAATTTACTGTTGTTTAAGGTTGTGTTTATTAGATTGTCATTTCTATATCTTTGATAAATTTGGCGATTTTTTCAATATTAGCAAAGCTAGGGGTAGCTAGGACGTCGTTTATATTCTGTGTTAAATACTGCTTTTTTTGTGTTGTAGTATTTTTGGCAATTGTTGAGGATGTGGTCTAATGTTTGGATTGTGTTACAGGTGATGCAGATTGGTTGATTTTCCTTTTTCAAGATATATTCGTGGGTTTGTGTGGTGTGCCCGAGACGCAATCGTGAAAAGATTCTGGTTTTGAAACCATGTATATTTGTTGGGTATTGTGGAGGAGTTCCATCTTTGTTAATGTTAGTATAGTGATAATGTTTGTGGCTGCTACGCAGTTGGCGTGTTTCGTGTATTATAAGCGTTTTGATATGGCGTTTTATGTCAAGCTTTTCGATTTTTGGGGTGCGTATTATTGGTGCATTGCAAGCAAATTTTGCAGCTTCATCGGCGTAGGTGTTACCGTCAATTTCTGCGTGTCCTGGAACCCATAGGAGCTTAAGCGTTTTCTTGTTTTTTATTAACATATCTCTTATTTGATTAATTGTTAATTGTTAATTTCTAACTGCCTGTAACACCGATAGACTGTCTGAACATATCACAGTTTTTGTTTTTTTGTGAAGGGAAAATACTATAGCTTCGTGTATAGCTGCTGCTTCTGCCGAGAAGACTGAAGAGAAAGGGAACATTGATTTCATGCTAATGCAGGAGCCTGTTTCCGATGTTATACTGAAAGCATCGCTATTTTGTGTTTTAGACCCATCAGTAAAGATAATTTGCCAGCCGCTCTTATTGTAAGTGTTCGCCTTTTCGAGGAAGATTTGTTTGAATATTGAATTTGGGGTGTTATCTTTTTTGTGGGTGTGTAGTGTTCTATCGCAACATTGGCTGTCAAGAGTCCACGGTGGGTTGTAACTTCGTAGTCTATGTGGTTTTACTTCCAAGTTGTACTTGTTGCATAGTTTGATAATTCGGAGCAGTGAAGGATTAACATTGAATGTTCGTTTGGATAGTACCAGTTTTTTTACGTCTTCGGATATTATAGATGTATTTAAAAATAAAACTTTTGGTATTAAGCTAGTGTTGACATTCTGTATATGTTCCTCTAGTGTGGGCAAGCCAGATTCAATGAAGAGGTTATTTGTACATAGACGAGACGGAGCTTCATCTGCCTCGGGAGACACGCACTACACTCGCACAACTTCGCTCCGGCTACTGCAGCAGGTTGAACTCCTACTTGAGTAGGTTGAATGAGGATGTGCCGAACGAATGTCCGGCATGCGGAGAGACCCCACATGACTCGAAACATCTCTTCGCATGCCCGGAAAACCCGACAACCCTAACGGCCTTGTCCCTATGGGCAAACCCCGCAGAAGCTGCACGCTTCCTAGGGTTGCCGTTAGTGGAACTTGACGACAACGACTGAGATACCAACCGATCTGGGCGGGGTTGTTGTAGCCGCTACAACAACAACAACAACAAGAGGTTATTTGTCGTGGTGGTGCGAAAAGCGAATAGGCTGGTTCTGATCGCCTTGTGGTACATTGGCAGGATTATAGTTTTTGTGATGTGTATGAGTGTGTTTATGTGGACATATCCTTTATATGACAAATACGATATTAAACTAAGTCTGGAGAGTAGATCCCTCTTTAGTTTTAAAAGATGCCGTTTCCATGTGTAGTTTTTTGTGAATATTAAACCTAGTATTCGCAGTTCATCCACATTCTCGATAATTTGTTGCTTCAATTCTATTGAGTGACTATTGGAATCGCATTTTAGTTTTTTACAAATATGAAGTTTTTTTGTTTTTTCGAGGGAAATTTTCGCACCTGATCTTAAGGTCCAGTCATCAATTTCTTTCAGAATATTTCTTAAAATTTTATTTGACTCGCTATTGTTCTTTTTGTTGCACAGTATAAATAAATCGTCGGCATAGATACAGTGGTTAACAAAGCTTGTGTTTCTGTATTATAGTGCTTATTTCGTTAAACGCGATTGAAAAGAGGAGTACTGAAAGCGGTGATCCTTGGGGAATACCATTCGTTAAAGATATAATTTGGAGTAAATACCGTTTACCCTGACTCGGAATTTTCTATTTTGGAGGAATGATTTTACAAAATTGAAGATCTTGGGTCCAACTCCCCACTGATTTAGTTTCTCTAGAATGACGTGAGCTCCTATTCTGTCGAACGCTTTTTCGAAGTCTAGTGATAATATTGAAATGTGGTTATGGGCTGATAGCGTTTTTGCCACATTGTAGTCGATGTGTAGCAGGGCATCCGTACATCCTCTTCCTGGTCGAAAACCGACCTGGTTGGATGAGATGAGCCTTTTTGCCTCTGTAAACCAGACTAGACGTGTCGCGACTATTTTTTCTACTAATTTCGACAGGCACGAAATTAGCGAGATGGGTCTGTAGGATCCGAGAAGGTTGAGGTCTTTCTGAGGTTTTGGGATAGGGATGATGGTTGCCGCTTTCCAGTTTTGGGGAATAATGCCTGATTGGAAAATATTATTGTACAGTGTCAAAAGTCTCGTTTTTGTGGATAAGTTCAAGTGTTTAATCATGCTGTATGAGATGCGATCAAAACCTGGTGTTTTTCCTTTAGTACTTTTTAGGGTAGAATACATTTCATCCATGGAAATATGCACTTCCATTTTCATTGCTGTTGGATTAGTGGTTTGGTTTGGCGCTATATTTGATTTTTTTGCCTGGTTGAATTGATTAGGAAAATTGTTGTCGTTCGAGCATTGAGACCAGTTGTGAGCAAAGAGGTGGGCTATTGTTCGCGTTTCCGTTGTTGTTCCTTGTGGTGTTTGAATTGCTGCTATTGACGTTTGTGTATTTTGATTTGTTAGCCTCCGCACTTTGTTCCATAATTCCTGCGATGATGAGTTTATGTTTATGCTTTTTGCAAAATTTTCGAAGCTAGATTTTTTTGTTTGCTTCATTTCCCTGCGGAAGATAGCATTACGTTTTTTGTATTCAAGAAGATTCTGTTCTGTTGGAGATTTTCGAAAAAGGTGCCATGTTGTCATTTTTTGGTTGCGGAGATTTGCTAAAGTCTGGTTCCACCAGGGGACATGGGTTCTGGTCTTCTGAGAGGATTGAGGGATCCAAAGGTTGGCTGCTACACGAATTGCCTTTGTAATATTATTTGCTTCTTGATTAATGTTTACAGAAATCGGTCTCTCCGAAATTTCCTCTTCGACGGATTGACTGAATTTTGCCCAATCAGCAAAGTTGAGTAGAAATTTCTTTTCAGTGTGGTGTTTTTCGGTGTTGTGTGTCAAATTGATTGTGGTGATTATCGGGAAATGGTCGCTGTGATAAAGATCCTCTAAGATATTCCATTTGATGATCGGGAGCAAGCTAGCTGAGCAGCATGTAATGTCTACATGGGTCAGTGTCCCGTGCGTTGAAAAGTGGGTTGGTCTACCGTCGTTTATTAAGAAAAGGTCCGATTGGTTGATTATGTGTTCTATTATTTTGCCTCGATTGTTGTATGTTGGGGAACCCCACAAAGGATTCCAGCTGTTAAAATCTCCTAAAAAGATTATTGGTGTTTGAATTAAGGCGAGTGTATCCATTATTTCTTTGGTAGGAATCTGTAAGTTTGGTGGAAGATAGCATGATATTATTGTAAATTTTATATTAAGGTTGACTTCGATCGCTATTATTTGTAGGTCGGTGTTTAATGAAATTATTTTGTGGGGAATATTAGCTTTAATAAGCACCCCTATTCCTTGTTTGGCTGTTGTAATTGTTGATGAGTTTAGAAAATGGCTTAAGTATCCTTTTGGGGGATATGGGTTGAAGTTGTGTTTGCAATGTGTTTCTTGCAGTGATATGAAGGGTGGATTTTCTTCTTTAATTACGAGGTTAAGCTCATTGATGTTGTTAAAGAATCCTTTTATATTCCACTGTAATATTTTGAAATTCATGTTTTATTTATTAGTTTATATGCTTTGTTGTATTTATTTGTTATTTGCCGTTATTTGTTTATTGATTAATTATAATTTAGGTTCTTCTTCGGAGTCAGAAAGGGCCATATAATATTCATTTTTATTTAGTAGCTCTTGAGTTATTTTGGTGCATGGTGAGATAGTATTATTGTTTTCAGGTAAGTTGTTGGTGAGTTGTGAAGTTGAGGTTTGTGAATTATCATAGTGATCAGAGAGTTTGTTTGAAATGGATTTTTTAATTGTTGTTGTGTTACTAGTGCTGCTTAGGTTAGTTTTTTTGGGCGATATTTGGGTTTTTTGTAATTTGTTTTGATTAATTTTAGTCGGTGGGGATGAAGCGGGGCGTTTAGCAATGCTTGTGGTTTCTGTTGGAGGCGTTGGTGGTGGCTTGTTGGTGGATGTTTGTTTGTTTCCTTTGGTGATGTCTAAGTAAGTATGTTTTGGGATTCTTTGTGGTTCGTTTTTTTCATTGTATTTACGACGTGCTTCTCCCATTGAGCATTTAGCAGTTGTCTTTATTTTTAGGATTTCTTGGGTTTGTTTGAATCTAGGGCAATCTTTGTCTGATGATGCGTGGTTGTTGCCACAATTTGCGCATTGTTTGCGCGAACAGTCAGTTGGGGAGTGAGGTGGAAGGTTGCAGCCTTCACACGTGGCAGGATTAGTACACCGTGTTTTTGTGTGCCCCAAGAGCTGGCAGTTTTTGCAACGCATAGGGGTAGGGTAGTACGGTGTGACTTTAACTTTGTACCATGCCATATCAATGTCTTTGGGTAGGTGGTAAAGATCGAAAGATAATACAATTTTTCCAGTAGGAGTTGCTTTGCCTTCAAATGTGCGTGTGAATTTGTATACGTTTCTTACGCCTTGACTTTTTAATTCTTGTATGATTTCCTCGTCGCTTACAAAATTTAGGCAGGGCGCATAAGTTACTCCGTTTATTGTGTTTAGATTGTCTTGGTATTTGACTGTCACCGGGCATAGATTACCGAGTGTTTTCACTTTTAAAAACCGCTCAGCTACTCTTGAGTTAAGTGTCAGTATAAGCAATGATCCGTCTTTGAGTTGCTTTACGTTTTCTATTTGAGTTGATATTGAGTCTATTGCTCTTTTTATTACGAATGGGCTTAGTTTTTGTAGTTCATTGTTGGCTGCTGTAATTGTTATGTATTTGGGTTGGTTAAGTGGTGTTTGTTTATGTGTAAGTGTGGGAAATGTGTAATCGGTGTCGTCAAATTGGCTTAGTATTGCGAATCTGTTTGTTGATTTGTCAGGTGGCTCTGGTTGTGTTGGCATTTTGTTTGTTGGTATGTTGTAGCGGTTCCTTGTTTACAAAGTGGTTGTTATGCTGATGCTCCACTAAAGTGCACAAAAGCGAAATATGATAACGGGTTATTTGGTATTGTTATTACGCGAGCTAAGAACACTTGTATGAACACGTCCGAATAGTTTAAGAGTTGGTCGATGTAGGTAGCTCATAATTTTGTACAATTAGTGAAACTTGAAAACATATTTTTTGTCAAAAAATTTGAAATGGAACTACCTTTTTGTATCATGGTAATATGCAAGGGAAGATGTTACCATGCAATTTGTATAAAAAAAAGTATCTTCATGCCGATTTTTTTAGCGGATTTGGCTTTCGGGTAAAGGTGTGTGTGCTATTTGGTTGACCATGGCTGTATGCATGATAAAAACATTAAAATCATATAAAATTGAAAATAAAAAAAAATTAAGTTGTTCACAATTGTTGTTGTTTAAGATTAAAAAATGAGAATGTGTGTGTGAGCTTGAGTTCAAATTTTAAAATTATATTGCTGGCAAACGTCAGACTGCCTCTCAATGATTTTACCTTGTAATGTTGGCTGTACGTATGTATTTCCATACAATCAGCCCTATTCTGCATTTCGATTACGTTGCCGCAGTCCGCTCCGCAAGAATCTAACTTAGGTATTCTGCGTTACGATCGAGTCGAAAGAGGAAGAGGAAGAGAGAAAACATCATGTTTGATCTTTCTCAGATGAGTGAAAAGTCCTAAATTCATCATGAACTCTATTACTCATCGCTCAAAGCCAGTGTTTGAGCACTCCACAACATTTGCATTTACTACAGAGTGGAAGATTTGAACGCAAATGAATTCCACTTTGAAGAAAGCCGTCAGGAGGAGGAGAAGAACAAAGCTCCATAGCAAATTCGAATTCGACAACATACGCACCTCTTTTTAAAAAGTTAGTAAAAACGAGTGCAATAATAAAAGCATCTTTTTTATGTAACTTCACATTTTATGTATGTATGTATGTTAGGGTGGGTAAAAAAAATCAAGTTTTTTTTTGATCCGACACACGAAAACTAGTTCCTAGGTACTAGAGGTTTACGCCGACAGGCTTTGCGGCGGCGGCGTGGTCAACTTCAAAAATATTTGGCGGCGGCGGCGACGCCGGCGCATCTGGAAACGCCGGCGCTACTGCTCATAAGGTAGATTTCAAAGAGCCATGAGGCTACTAATCTTATCATTTCAACTCGTCAGCGTTAGGCGTTCGCCATGCCAATTATTCTATTATTATAATTCTATTTATTTCATTATTGAATTAGTTTTAAATTTAAATATTGTTACTTCCACTTGAATTAGAATGTTGAGTGTCTGGCGCTGATTGATGGGCGAACAGAAGAAGGTCTGAGGTATATACATACATACATACATACACGGATCTCTATGTTCTCTACAGATCCGTATGTACTACATATTTAAATTTAAACAAATAAAAAAATTTTAGAAGTTTAGTTATTGGGGTAATTTATGTCGCTCTCAATAAATAACTTCAACCCTGTGTAGAAAACATTGCGATGCGATGGAGCAAAACCTTCCTGGGGTTAGACCATCACTAAGGAATGCTAACGTAATTTTCACATAGCCACCTAGTACTTGTATACGTATGTGGGACCCCAGAATAAAATAATTTACGAATGTAAATATTAGCAAAAAACGTGTTTGTTTAAAATACTAAAATATTATCTTTGTGTTATCTGCAATAATCGAGGAGTTCGATGCAAAGGGCTTCTATTAAAACTGCTTTCTGAGATATTGGCATTAAAGTTTTTGATGTGTTATTACTTTGTTGTTGTTGTAGCAGGTGTATAAAAAAGTAGTATTGTTGTAGTATTGAAAAGAATTGTCTACTGCGGAAAAAAATCATTAGATTACCAGTATTCGACCCCAATTTAACTGTAATAAACGCTTTCGTCGAAAAATATGTTACCTATGTTTTTTCTGAGTTACGCTATTTTTGGAAAAATAAAGGAGATCTTATTCTTGTCCAGTGGCCCAAATTATGCAAAAAAACTAATTTATAAATGTAATTTTCATTTCGTAAAATTGTGTTTTTATACAAGTAGTATTTAGTTCCTTCAAACGATGTATTCAATGTACATACAGTATCGGTCATATCTATAGCACGCCAATTCAAAGTGATATTGTGTGCCACTTATGTTTATTTATTTATTTTTAAGAATTTTCAATTAAAATACAGTTCTTTCTCTATCAAAACCCATAAAAACCCAAGTTTAAAAACTTATAGAAAACTACAAAAAAGTGCAACAAATTTTCACTAAATTTCAAACTTTTTTCTCGGAAGTGTTTGAATTTTTCTGAATACACAGTTTTATAGCCCAATCAATTTTAGTCTGATAATGTGCAAGTTTCAGGTGGCTAAAAGTTACCGCTGATTTTTTAGAATTTTTTTCGCCAAGGATGTTGCGGTTTTCTTCCATATACAAATAAATTGAGTTTATTTATTATATGGAAGCCAATGCGACAAAAAAAATTCTAAAAAATTAACGGTAATTCGTAGCCACTTAAAATTTGCATATTATCAGACTAAAATTGCAGGGGCTAAAAACTGTGTACAAAAAAAAATTCTATCACTTCCGAGAAAAAAGTTTGAAATTTAAGTTAAAATTTGTTACACTTTTTTGTAGTTTTCTACAAATTGTTGAACTTGGATATTTATGGGGTTTGTCCGAGAATGAATTAAATTTTAATTGAAAATTCTTAAAAATAAATAAATAAACATAAGTGGCACACAATATCACTTTGAAATGGCGTGCTATAGATATGACCGATACTGTACATCATGAAAATTTTGTACAAAATTCCTTAGGCGCCGAACGCCGCCGCCGCCACGCCGATATTTTCGTAACTCGGCGGCGGCGCGTGAGGAATGACAAAAAACGGCGGCGGCGACGGCGTGGCGCGGCGGCGTATACCTCTACTAAGTACCTCTAGAAAGTACATACCAAATCTTAGCTCTTAATATTAACGGGGACATTATGCTCATCATAGTTTTCCATTTTCAATTTAGTCTCATATAAAAAAGGTCATATCTTATCACCAATAGATCGTTAAACCAGTAGCATCGTCAATATTTATAGGAAATTGAACGCTCCACAAAAATGGTCTAATATACTCTTTTGGTTAATCTAAACATTTAAAAGATATTTAAGGCCAAAGATTGAAGTATTTTAAGGAAAATAACTGTTTGTTTTGAATTTTGTAACGTATTTTAAGGAAAATAACTGTTTGTTTTGAATTTTGTAACTTACTTAAAAATATTTTCATATGAGTTTCAATTATTTCTATAGGAAATTAAACGCTCTACAAAAAAAGGTCTGATGTAGTTAATCGATTACTCTAACCATTTATAAGATATTTGCAGTAGAATCCCAATGCCTGATTTTAATGGTTTTTCAATAAATATTTTCAATTTATGAATTTTGAAAATATTCATGAGAATTTGAGTATCAATTTTTATCAAAAGAAAAAATATATTTTTGTATCAGTACTGTATTGAATTATAAAATTTCATATGGCGAAATAGATTTTTTTTCTGCTGATAAGTTTGATGATATTCCTTAAATAAAAACCTTCTTTTTCTGAAATAGATCATAAATTATCTCAAAATTCATTAATTAAATGGATAAATTGGAGATATTTATTAAAACTATTAAAATCAGTACAGTAAAACTACATGAGACCTTTTTTGTAGAGCATTTAATTCCCTATAGAAATAATTGAAACTCATTTGGCAATAATTATTTTTTAGTAAGTTACAAAATTCAAAACAAAAAAAAATTATTTTCCTTAAAATACTTCAATCTTTGACCTTGAATATCTTTTAAGTGGTTAGATTAATGAAAAAAATATATGTGAAACCATTTTTGTAGAGCGTTCAATTTCCTATAAATATTGACGACGCAACTGGTTTAACAATCTATTGGTGATAAGATATGACCATTGTTATATGAGACTAAATTGAAAATGGAAAACTATGACGAGCATAATCTTCCCGTTAATATTAAGAGCTCAGGTTTGGTAAGTACTTTCTAGAGGTACCTAGGTACTAGTTTTCGTGTGTCGGATCCAAAAAAAATACTTTATTTTTTTTTTACTCACCCTAATGTATGTATGTACATACTTCTATTAATTTGATATACAAAGAATAAATTGTATTTGCATTTCACAGTCTTATTTATAGATAATGAAAACAAAAACGCCTGTGCTTCCTCTTTGAAAACCTCGCACAATATCCCCTTTGGCTCCTAATATTTGAGCCAATTTTTCGTATTGCCCGTATTACCGCTCGCGAAAACACAGAAATCGAGAAAATTCATTTATGATGACTTACAATCATGCACAGTATATTTTACTTATTTTTTTATAAATTTTATTATTTAAACCCACGAAAATAACAATCGAAACGTTCTCCGTCAACAAATTTGCAACCTAGAAAAACGGAACTCCGATCGAAATGTAGAATAGGTATAATCGTAAATTTCGAAGATGGATCGAAAGGAAACGGAACACAGAATACCAAAGTTGCCAAACGGAGAACATTTCGATTCGAGTCGAAATGCAGAATAGGGCTGAATTGTAAGCAGTTTTCATTTGGGTAATTTTCATTCTTAGTTTCCAAATATATGTATGTAATTAAAATCTGTATTTAAAACTTAAAATTGTGTAAAATGCTTGAACTACATATAAATATAGATATTATTTAATAGCTTTCTAAAAATATTTCGTTGCAAACGCAATTATTGTTCAACATGTCATACCTATACCCTTAAGTATATTAAATTGGCTTTTTCTTTAATAGTAGTGTGAACTTTTATTTGCCTTTAAATTATTTTGTTAATACAATTAAGAGAGTTACAATAAAATGATATTTGCTTGGCATGAGAGTGATGATGATGGATATTTGCTTCGTTCTATGGATTTCATTCATGTGATGACATCAAATAGTTTTCGCTGGCTTCTAATTTCGTTCAATACGAACTGCTTAATGAAGTTCGTGTATTGTTAGTTTATTCATATTATTTTTTAAATTTTAACTGCTATAATTTTGCAAAACTCGAAGTAGTTTTGGAAATAATTGGAAAGTGAGTGACTCCCACATTCGGTATCATTTTGTAATAAACAAAATTTTAAATTTAAGGAAAAACAAAAATATACACATTATTTTAGCAGTGGGAGTACTAGACTTTATAAATATGTACCACAAGTGCTGTTGCATTGGCTATGCTAGTGTGGCTCTTGAAGTTATTGGTTTAAACCCTTTCATCTGAAAGCAATTTCCTCTGATGTTCCTTATTTATACGCTTTGACGCTGTTGTTATTGGGCGGCGTTTTGATCTGTTATTTAGTGTTAGAGGATAATATATTTATATTTCAATGTATAAATCCAACAGACTGGTAACGAAAACAGAATAGCTTGTGATAATTCATTAATTGTATTTTTATATTTTACTATTTATATAGTCTTTGAGTTTGAGAAAGCTTCAAACTAATCGTAATTCTTGATTCCTTTATTACTTGCTTGTTTATTTTCATTCGTTTAAATAGTTCTTTTTTTGTTTTTGATAATGCGCCTGCGTCAAATGTACAGAACTTTTAAGCCAATGTTGGGAATTGACGTTCGTCGTTGACTTTCGGTGCAATATTTTGCTGTCTGAAACCAAAATTGCGTTTTCCGCCTCGGCCAGTAATAACCCCACGTCCACCAGCGACTGGGCGTTCAGTAGCATTATTAAAGTTGGTGTTGGTGTTGGGAACGCCAGCTCCTGGACGAGGTCCGCGGCCACGCCCACGTCCACCAAAACCAGGACCACGGCGCCCGTCATTGAAATTAAATTGTATGTCGAGGACACGTTGTTGGCGTCCAACTCTCTGCGGATACATGGCAGGATCGTATTCAAGTTCCTCTTCGCTTTCATTGTCCTTTTTCTTATTGTTGTTTAGAACTACCATTTTCTTCCATTGAGTTGTGTCTTCACCTATAGTGTGAATTCTTAGTAAGTAAAATGGTTTTGTAGAAACATTTTTGTTTTGCTGCTTACCTTCTCCAGCTTTGCGAATATTGAAAGTTGGCTTTACTCGTTGTTGTTTTTGCGCCTTCCATTCGTCCAGCGTCAATTCTTTGGTTTCTTCTTCGACCGGTGCCTGGTCTGCCTGCTCATTGCCGGATTCTTCAGCCTTATCAGTGACATTGCCAGCTTCAACATCGCTCTTATTAACATCGTCGATAGCTTCTTTTACGGATCCCCAATTATGTGCTCCAGCACCGTCACGTTTGTCAATAGCTTTCACACCTGAAATTGTTTAATTTTGTTTTCAATCAAACACGTAATATTTAGGGCTGGTTTCTCCAACTCAACTCAACTTAGTTTAGCCACTTTTTGGACTTAAGTCAAAAGTTAGCCTACGTTTTACACAGCTTGGTCATGACTAAGTCAAGAAAATTGGCTAACTAAGTTAAGTTGAGATGGAGAAACCAGCCCTTAGTTTTCCCATAATGTAATAAACACTATTACACTGTGGGGTTTCCAACTGGCATTCTTTTGACTTTTGTTTTTTGTTATTTTAACATCCAGCAAATGCAAACGCCGGAAAAACACAAAATTTCGTTCATCTCCTATCGTTTTTTTTCCTTTTAGGTTTATTTAAAAGTTTCCTAATCTACTTCATGAAATCTTTGACATTTGGCACGTTTTGACATTGTTCATCCCGTCGAAGTTGTGAATATGCATGCACGTATGTTTGTGTTCCATGATTTTGATTAACACCAATACATACAAAAGCTTAAATAATTATACATACGTATGGATGTGTTTTCTGCTTACCAGTTTTATCGGAGCCTGATTGTCGGTCGAATTCACGCTTACCGCCTCGGTTACCACCTTCGAAATTGCGGTTACGTGGTGGGCCACGGTTTTCTCGTTCCCGAAATTGGCGTGGTTGCTGCTGCGATGATCCACCTTCAATTTGCATACCAAAATTACCCGTGAATCCATTTTCCCGGACATTGCGTCGATTATTGCGTTGTTCGCGAGTTTCGCCGTTTTGCTGTCTAAAATTTAAGTTTCTCGTGCCCTGTTGCTGTTGTCCACCTTGACCGCCATCACTAGCGGGTCCAGTGCGCTTCCGATTTGCATTGGCAACTGGCCCTCCTTGCTTGTTAGTTCTATCTGCAGCAGTACCCGCCGTCGATTTCTTATTCACCTCGTTTTTGTTCAGGGCTGATGGCTTATTCTCTTTCTCGGCTTGGTTAGGTTTCTTGCTCGATTGTGTCCTTGGAACACTGTCGACATTTTGTTTATTCGATGACTTTGCGAGGGGTGCACTACCCCCACTGCCACCAGCAGTTTTAACCTGTTTTTTAGACTTGATCGCAATATTATCTAATGGATCACTAATATCATCGTCCATGAACAAAAGTTCATAACGATTATTTCCAGAGCCATCCATAATTGGCGATTTTTTTAATTACTTCTCTTTTTTCTTACTTTGCTTCAGCCAATTTCTTATAAATTTGAACTAACCTTAATTTCTGCTTTCTGTTGCACGATATTAATGTCTAAGAACACATGCCCAGCATTGAAAAAGCATGGTATACATACAAGAAGAAGAAGAGTGCTGAAATATTTGACAAGTACATGGTTGGTTTAATAGTCAGGCTTGTGCGAAATATTCTCAAATACAGATGGCGCCCATAGAACAAGAAGCGCTATGCAGTGCTGCCGTTTACTTATTTTCGAGCGAAGTGAAAAAACTCTAAAAATGAAGTGTTTCGGAGTGACTTGTTTACTTTTCTAGCCGATAATTATCAGCAAAAAGAAGAATGGGATCATTGAGAGAATTACGGGCAAGAACGATAGAATACAAGATTGCGCATTCCCGCAGAATGACATTTGTGGCAACGGGTAAACAAAGAATATGGCGAAGAACAATGAGTTGACAGCTGTGAATTTGCAGTGAGAAAACGTGTTTTCTTCTCGATTCACCAAATTCTCAAGCCATCCTTGAATATAGCGAATTAAGCACAACGTTAGCAAAAAATATACAACCACTCTTGAAATGTGTTCAAAAGAATAGTTGTTTTCATATTCTCCAGCAAAAAACATCCTGTAACTTGCCAGTAACCAAATTTCGGAGAGTTAAGCTCGGAACACTTTGACGACAACAAGCGATAAGCAGCATCTCTCAAATTTTAAATACACACGTTCTTACGGACACAATTATTTTGACGACAGCACGACATCTTGGCTGCAGGACTGCAATTGTCGACGTCGCCAAATTAAATCTATTTCTAATTTTGCCGGCGACAATGAGTAGATGTAGTGCTGCAACATTAAATTGTCGCAAAATTAATCACAATTTCTTGATTGTTCATGTTTTTCTTATTTACTTAAATAAAAATACA